GGTTGACTAAGCAAGTCATTCGTTTTGGTCTGGCGGTAAAGTGGGCAACACTTCCATATAGTTTTAGTTTTGTGTTTCTCGATTTGTTTTTGTGTAAAAGTGGAATTAATAAAATAATATATTTAAAATACGTAAAAAAGCGGGATATTTCTAAATTGTTTGAAAATAGTTTTTCGTAGGTAAACAACTAAAGTTACTATTAATTAAATGTGAATGGTAGATGTGAATTGACAGAAAATCCATCTTCCAATCTTTTTATAAAATTATTTTTTAATAATTAGTAAAAAAAATTAGATTTAAATTATAAATAAAATTTCGTTATTAATTATATTTTTACATATGTTTACTAGAATAATTATTAATGATAATAGTTCATTAATCTGTTTGAAAATAATTATTATAATTTATTTATTAGTTTGTGATGATTAATTCTTTTCATTAATAATTTAAAATATACTCTTACAATTCCTAGTTTATAATCACAACTGTATTAGTAAAAATAAGAAAAATTGTTATTAATTATAATAAAACAATTAACATTGTTATAGAATGATACAATAGTAACACAATTATAACAAATGATATTAAAAACAAACCCAATACATCAAAAAATAACTCGAAAATAAGTCGATTAACCCTATTTGTAAATTTCTGAATGCTATCAAAATTGAAAAAGTAAGTGATGGGTAAAGAGGGAAAGAACAACAAAGAGCGTCTCGACAAATATTACCACTTAGCGAAACAATACGGGTATCGAGCTCGTTCAGCTTTCAAATTAATCCAGATGAACAAACGATATGATTTTTTAGGGTCTGCGCATGTCCTTATAGATCTTTGTGCTGCGCCTGGTGGGTGGTGTCAAGTAGCGCAAAAGGAAATGCCAGTGGACCAACGCATTTTTGGTGTTGATTTAGAGGCGATTCTTCCAATTCCAAAGGTTAAGACGTATGTTGGCGATATTACAACGCCCATGTGTTTTGCTGAAATGAAAAAGTTAATGAAAGGAAGTCAAGCGGATGTAGTGTTACATGATGGTTCTCCCAATATGGGTAAGTCGTGGATTCAAGACGCATACACGCAGTCTGAATTGTGTATTGCTGCTCTTAAGTTTGCGGTCAATTTCTTAAGAAAAGGTGGGTGGTTTATATCTAAAGTATTTAGATCACAAGACTATTACTCCATTTTATACGTCTTTGAAAAGTTCTTTAAGACAGTGACTGCCACAAAACCGCCAGCGTCTAGAAACACATCTGCTGAGGTTTATTTGGTGTGTAAAGATTTCTTGGCTCCATCGAAATTTGATCCCAACTTACTCGACCCCAAATTTGTATTTTCAAAAGAAGAGGAGACTGTCATCCCCGACTTGTTCTCTTCAAAAAGATCGAAACCACAGGGCTATGACACTTCAAAGTCATTAATCTACAACGAAGGTAATGCCAAAGATTTTTTGAAGTGTGAAGAACCCAAGAATTGGTTAGCCACACATACTAAGATGGTATTTGATGAAGGTCTCCCGGTCAATGAGAAAGTGATAGCGTATGGTGAAGACATCAAAATGCTTGGAGTAGCGGAGTTAAAGGTACTTTTGAAGTGGAGGGAGTTTGTTCTTCGCAAGATCAAGATCGCTCAAAACGATGCGGAGCAGAAGAAAAAGAGTGAAGAGAAGAAGAAGGAGACTACACGAGTTCTAACTGAAGAAGAAGAGCTTGAGCTTGAATTGAAGCGCGAAGAGGAAGAGAAAGATGAAGAAGAGTTGCTTCGCATCAAAAAGAATGAGAAACAGAAGAAAAAGGAAGAGAAACAGAAGCGTAAGGACAAACGAGCTGAGGAAGCTGGTGTTGATTTTGCACCCAAATTTGGAGTTGATGCGTCTGCTGATTTATTTACGATCAACGATATTAAAAATGATGAAGATATGCAACTGTTTTTGGAATATGATGGGGCAAAGATACAAGAGGAATTGGACGAAGAAGCCAATAAAGAAGAAGAAGAGTACAAAAAGGCGGAGAATGAGAGACTTGGGAAAATGACATACGACGAGCGGTTGGCTGAGCGATTTGACAATGAATACGACGACTATTTGGAGTCGCGTGGGTTAACCAAAATCAAAGCCAAAGTCGGGAAGATGGAAAAGGAGAAAGAAGTACGTGAGACTCTTGGAGATGAAGATGAACTCCGACAAGCAAAGCAAGACCCGACACAAGAGAAGATCGAACATGTTGAGGAAGTCAGAAACGAGAGAGGAAAGTATGAGAGAGAGATGAGTAAAGGTGGTGAAGAGAAGTGGTGGGGATCGAGTGGAATGGAAGAGATATCTGGGCAAATGGCTATTTTAGAGCAAGTTTTGAGAGGAGATGTTGAGAAGAAAGCAGATACTCAAAATTCTGTCGAAGGTTCAGAAGAACACAGCGAGGATTTAGAACAAACTAAAAAGGAGAATGAAGAAGAAGTCTCATCATCAGATGATGTAGAAGAAGAGTGGGGCCCTGAAATGGGGAAAGCCAAGTTGACCCATGCACTGAGTTTAGCTGGGCGAATCGTTCAAGACCCCAAACAACGCAAAAGAATGCTTGAAGCTTCTTTGATGAATAAATACGCGACCCCTGATGATGAAGACACTCCAATTTGGTTTAAGATGGAGGAAGAGAAACACTCGAAAGTACTTCTTCCAGAAACTAAAGAGGAAATTGCTGCTATGCGCGCACGATTTAAAGAAATTGATTCTCGACCCGTTCGTAAAGAGCTTGAAGCACAGGCGAGAAAGAGAAAGAAATTGTCTTCGAAGATGAGAGAATTGGAACAGCAAGCCACTAAGATCGAAGGCGATGGCGAGATCAATTCAAGAGAACAATTGCGCTCATTACAGAAGAAGGCCCAGAAATTGACTAAGACATTCTCGACGAAGAACGGAGTCACTTTTGTCAACTCGGCAAGTGGGAAAAAGATCGGAGGGAGTAGAGGACGAGTGAAGTTGGTTGACAAGAGAATGAAGAAGGAGTTCCGCGCGAAGAAGAGAATAGAGAAAAAGCCACGCAAAGGAAAGAAGTAATTAATATGATTGAATGGTACTGTTGAATAGTTTCCCAATAGTAATAATAATTAAACATATTCTGTATTGAAATGTGTGGATTACACAACACTAAGTAACTCAAAGGAATGAAATGTATTAATTGTATTAATCACACACAAACGCGGCATAAGATAAGATGTCGACTTTGGAAGGATAAACCGACCCAACGATCTCGGGGGGAGTAATTACCATGTCAGCGTAATACCTATCCATACAGGCATTGACCGACAATTTACCGTCTGTGTCGACTTGGTAAGCGCAATTAGTGTCGACAAAGTCCTTGGTCCCAATTTTGAGGGTTGGCACTTTTTTATTAATTTTGAAGAGTTTGATGTCGGTGTCTGTGGCGACAAAAGTGAAGTGATTGGCGTCTGATGTGAACTTTTTGAATTGGGGGACTTTCTCATGGAAAGAACCGATGATCTTATTTTCAGCATATTTGAACATAAAGAGTGCTTGTTTCTTCTCGATTTTGTCATACAAAACTTGTGGATTATATCCATCTTTAGTCTCCATCACTGGTCTAAATGACTTATTTACGGCCTTTTCTAATGCTAATAAAGTACTTTGAATGAAGTGATCTGCCACTTCTGGGTGTGGGATTTGTTGTGAGTCAAGTTTTCGAACAGAGACCCGGTGCATCTGTTTTGGGACGACAGAACTCTTTTTCTTTTCTTCTGTTATTGACGATAAACTTGAAAAATGCTCCACCTGTTTTCTAACACGAGAAATGTGCTTTGGTGTTTCTTGTGGATTTTGGTCAACAATCGATATGTCTTGGTCGGTCGGGTTGACAAAAACTATTATATGTGTGTTCGAACGATAAATGGGAAGATCTTGGACATTTAAGGTCCCATTGTTGGAAATATTCAGAATTATCAAACGGTCGTCGTTTTTCATCGACTTCAACTGTTTCATCACTGCATCATTAAGATCGCTTATTTGGAACGCCATGCCTGTACTTGTCCGATTTTTCAGTTGGACCGAGTTCTTCAAGTTTCTTTTGGTTTTAATATGGTATTTTTATAACTCTTTATTAATTTAATTATAGTTGTTTGTTACAAATATAAAGACTATTTTGAGTTTCTTTTCGTTTTGATTGTTTTTTTTTCTTCTAGATCAATTTCGCCAATAAAAAAGAAGAATTATTGTGTGTTTTTGTTTTACAGTGAAAATACGTTTCAAAATGATGGGAAAATAGTTTAAAAATGACAGATTTTATTTTAAAAGGACAAGATTTTTAATAAAATATAATTTATTTCCGACATTTTCCCGATTTTACACATAAAAACACAAACAATTTAGAATTACAAGTCTTTTCTTTCATATGCTTTTGCCCAAATTTCATTGCGACATCTCTCCATAGACGCTATTACTTCAGCCGGTTGAATTGAAATAAATCCATCTTTGATTTTTTCAAGAAGATCGCCAAGGCCAGTCCAAATACGTATGTCATTTTCTACACGCCTTTTCCAAAACCCAAATACAGTTTCGATTGGGTTGAGTTCAGGACTATAAGCTGCATTATAAACAATTGAATGATGAGTATTAGTAACAAGTTCCCTCAAATGGTTGTGTATAGTACAATTGTCACACCAAAACACTGCTGAAATGTTGTTGTCGTCATAGTGTTTCATCAATTCCATAAAATATCTATTGAAGACCTCTTCATCACTTTTTCCTGCAACCAAAAAAGTTGTTCCCATTCCTGTGTAGTCTATTGAACACAAAGCATATAGTCTTTGTCCGTTTTTTGCCTTTGTCACGAAGAGTTTTTCACTGATTGGACTCCATCCGTAAACCGCAGTGCAAGCAATAAGCCAAGAGGATTCATCAATGCAAACCCAGGTTTTTCCCGAGTGCATCTGACCAACCAATTCTTCGATCGCGGCGATTCTTTTCTCTTTGTTTTCGTTAGTGTTTGCAACTGCGCCTCGTGGAGTTTCCCTTTTGAAACTTAAAACAGGCAGAGTTCTGCCCTCATCTATACCAGTTTTTCCTTTCATGAAGTTTCTAATCGCGCTTATTGAAGGAATCATTTTGTCGATTGTATCCAATGCTTCTTGTGATATTCGAGTTGGAGAATTGTTGTTATACCACAATTCAAATTGTTCTTGTGTAATTTCTGTGACTTCTTCGACTGTTGTTACATTGGCATTTACCAACACTTTTTGGATGTTTGATCGGATACAATTGACTGAAGATGTTGAATCTTTTTCAATTAATTTCTTTACCAAATGCTGAAAAGGAATTACTCTGCTTTTTTTCTTGTAGTGGTCTTTTGGTAAAATTGAATTACCATTTCTTAATTTGACTAACATATTTTTGACGGCCTTGATTTTAATACCAAGTTCTCCACTATAAAACACGTCGTCTTTAGTGTCCCCATAAACTCTAAAAAGTTTAATCATATCAAACTTGTTTTGTATTGTTACTTTGTGATAAGGTCTTTTGGTTTGGTTTATTGATTCTGACCGAGTTTTGGGTTTTCCCCTTTTTCTTTTAGTAGCTTGGGGAAGAATGAAAGGTGTTTTAGATTCAACCTGGCGCTGTTGTTCATTCCATTGGATAAGTGGTGGATTATCTATAATATCGTTTTTTGCTATTGGGTCTCTAGCGTCGATGAATGTTAAAGACTGAGACACTTAAATCAATTATTAAGATTGAGACCAAAATAATGTAAATCCTTTTTTATTTTAATTTGATTATTGATTTATACACCTATTTTTGAAACACGTTTATGATATTCTAAATTGTTTGTGTTTTTATGTGTAAAATCGGGAAAATGTCGGAAATAAATTATATTTTATTAAAAATCTTGTCCTTTTAAAATA